ACTATACCATTGATATGAGAAGAATAATCAGAAACTGTTATCTTTGCAGATCAAACACTGCATGAAGAGATCAATGTCAGAGACTGTTTAAGCCTCTTCTCATTTCTAAACACATGTGACAGGAGCTTTTCATGAACTTTATTGTAGACTTACTGAGCTCTAAAGAATATACAAACATCATGATTATAACAGACAGACTGATCAAGAGGATTATATTAAAAGCAGTTAAGAAAACTGATGCAAAAACAGTGATTAGAGTGTTTCTTCATAACATCATTTCTTAACATGACATCTCTAAGGCAGTAGTGTCAGATTGAAGGTTAGCTTTCACAAGCATGTTTTGAACTTAGATATGTGAGAAATTAGGCATTAAGAGATGACTCTTCACAGTCTATCACCCAGAGACTGATAGAGCTACAGAGTGAATGAATCAGACTCTAGAAATCTATCTATTCAAGTACATTAGCTTTCAACAGAATGACTGATGTGAATGACTCCCTCTAGCAGAGCTGGTCATCAATAATAGAGATGCTGCCTCAATGAGTATGAGCTCATTCTTTTTAATATATCTTTTCCACATCTTCTCCATTGATATAGCTGATACACCTCTCATTGAAATGCCACATAATCTTATTGAGTTTGTGAATGATTATATGAGGAAGGTCTGCAAAGTGTTTGAGTGAGCTCAAGTAAAAATGATAGATGCTCAGCAATCTCAAGAGAAATACATGAATAGACAAAGAGACCTGGCTTTAAGCTTTCAACCTGGAGATAAGGTCTGGTTGAGCTTAGAGAACATGAAAACTAATCATCTGTGCAAGAAGCTGGATGTGAAATACAATCAATATATCATGCTAGAAAAGATAGAATCTCATGCTTACTGACTGAACATTTCACTCAGCATTCACAATATCTTTAATATAAAGCTTCTACATGCTGCAGTGATGGATCCCCTGCCTAGTCAGAGACAAACTGACTGACAGTCACTCACTATAGAGACTCTGAAAAAACCTGAGTTTGAGATTGAGGAAATTTGAGGCAAATGAATCTACCAGAGGAAAAAGCAATATCTCATTAAATGGGTAGGTTAGGCTGAGCCTATGTGAAATGACACAAGTCTCCTACAAGAAGCAAAGACCTTGAACACTTGGGAGGCCTCTCAGCAGGCAAAATTAGATGTAAAGAGAGCTTTAAATAGTTGTAAAGGCCCGCAACAAAGAGAGAGAAAAGAGGTATTATAAGAAGTTGAACCCTTAGATTTGCTCTGACTGGCTGACTCAGCCTAGTCATCATTTGCATGTGCGCATGTGATCATGCTATGTGAGCTTGCTTAAGCTTGAGTTCTTGTCTCATTCTTTTCTTCCCTTTCTCAAGCAATTCATCTTTGTTATATAAGAGGACTAGTCTCTAGTTCTTAGAGCTTAACTCTTTACAATAATGTGTTTAGCAATGTTCTTCTTTTCTAAAAATTCAATACTGATAATGTTTACATTTATGTTAGGCTCAGCGCCCGACCGAGCCCGACCGAGGCTCGGTGCCCGGTTAGACTCGACGTCGGATTAAGCTCGGCGCCCGGTTAGGCCAAATATTCTCACGTGATCAAACGACCATGCGGGTGGTTATAACCCGGGCAGGCCCCAGCACCTCCTTTCATTCCATCAAGCTTAGTATTTCGTTATATAGCAGTTAGCAACGCAGAGAGTTTCCTTCTTATGCAGCTCGCATTCGCTCCCTAACAATTTATAAAGAAAATGATCTGAGAATTCAAAATCTCTCTGATTTTAAAAGAATTTGCAGACAATTATCTAAATTCTTTTTGATATACTTAGATCTACTCAGTGCATCTGTCAATGTATTATTCTTCTCCAATCATTATTTGATTTCAAAGTAGAAGTAGAAAAGAAATTCTGTTTAGTGAATCTGATATGTATTTAGCTTCTTAATTGTTATAAAGTATTTCAGTGTACAATAATTAGTGAGAATCTTGAATCATTCTTTCTGTTATAGTTTATCAAGCTCAGCTTGTCATTTCTGCAATGCTCAGATAGCTGTAAGCTTAATTATTACTTCATTAGAAACATCAGTCTCAATATGAGTTTCATGTTCGGAATAATAGTTATGTAGAGTTGAAGTCTTCATCAGCTGCTTCTTCAATTTCTCAAAGACTGACTGACATTCTGATATTCACATGAATGAAACTGTTTTTTTTATCAACTGATATAGTGATTTTGCAATTTGATTATAGTTTTTTATAAATCATCAATAGAAGTTATCGAATTTTAGAAATGATTGAATATCTTTGACTGTGATTGAAATCTATCACTTTATGATAATAATAGTCTTCTTAGAGTCCGTTTTAATCCTCTTTGTAATAATAATAAATCTTAGGTATTTTGTTCTCTGAACAGCAAACTCATATTTTTGAATACTAGTTTGCAAGTCTATTATCTTTAATCAGTTCAGTATCATATTCACTTGCTGTTTATATTCTTTAAAAGTTATGCTATAGATTAGAAGATTATTTATAAATGCTATTATAAACTTATTCAGATAGTCAAAAAAGACATCATTGATAAATTATTAAAAGCAGATAAAGATATTTATAAGATTAGAAGAAATTATCTGATATTTATAGATTTCAAAGCAAGTTTTAAATATAATCAAGTTCTTAGATTCAGACTTTATCTGAATGCAGCAGAATTCTTATTGAATGTTTAACTCTATAAAGTATTTTATTTCATTGGGTTATTTCATCAACTCATCTATTAGAGATAGTAAATACTGGCTCTATTTGATTATGACATTTAATCTGTAAAAATCAACATGAAATTATAGTTTTCTTCTACTGCAAATAATCAAAATGAGAGATGCATAGAGAACTGAGCTTGCTATAATGAATTTTTTTGCTAAGTTCATCTTTAAATAAATTTTTACTGCTTCTAATTTCTTTAAATTCATCTTGTATAAAGATTTATATCTTATATCTCTGACAAGCTCTGTATTTGACTAAAGTTCCATCTTAAGATCAATGATCTTATGTAGAGGAAATAATTCATGTGAGTTTTTTTTTAAGAAGTAGTCCTCTCAGCTCTTCAATCACTCAGATAGATTGTTGATTAACTTATTATCAGATTTAGCATCAGCTATTGCAAGATCTTATTTTTTCTTAAGCTGCTTATCAATTTCATACAGACTGATAACAATGACTGTAGAGTTTTTATTTTTTATATAGTCAAGAAAGAAAGCAGCTTCAATGAAGTTCAGATTTATTATTTATGATACTTCTTTTTTTCATTTGTTAGACTGAGTCACTGACTTCTATTCAGTCTCTCTGTCAGATCTAATGTTCTTTTACTCTTTTTCTGAATGCTCTTCTATCTGTTTTAATATAGATTACTCACTTGGCTAGATGAAACATCAATTCTTGATATTAAGTCATATGTTCTGTGTGGCCAGTCACTTTCATTTTAAAATGATATGATGCTAATTCAAGTCAGTTATTAGTAAAGAGATGTTCTGAAACCTCTATCTATTCATTCAAAAATTTAAGATCAATATATGATCTATTATCTCATTTAAAGCTTTATTATATTTCTTCATATAGTATTTAAATGAGAGTTTCTGAAAATTTTTATTGAATAGTCTTGCTAACTTTATACTATATTAAGTATTGATAAAATTCACATCATTTACTTCAGTATCAGCAAGAGAATTTGTAGAAATAACAATTTCATTGTAGATTAACTTAATTGATACATTAAAGCTTCTTTTTTCAATCAAGTTATTCATGTCAAATCTCTCACTCACTATTGAGCAATCTAAGATGAAGGCTCTTCTTAGACTTATTTTTTTTCTAAATCTGCTAAGAGTCTAGCAGTGTTATTCTTAGTGAGCTTAGTAATTATCTATTGAGACTTTTGTTTTATAGAGCAGTTTTTGACAATATAATTCTTCTTCGTGTAGTAGTAGCTGTTAGGGAGTGAATGCGAGCTGCATAAGAAGGAAACTCTCTGCGTTGCTAACTGCTATATAACGAAATACTAAGCTTGATGGGATGAAAGGGGGGTGCTGGGGCCTGCCTGGATTATAACCACGCGCATGGTCACATGATCACGTGATAAGGGTTAGGCCTAATCGGGCGCCGAGCTTATTCCGACGTCGAGTCTAACCGGGCGCCGGGCGGGCTCGGTCGGGCGCTAAGCCTAACAATGATGTGATATTGATAATTGTCTGCTGACTGAGCAAGAAGCTTATATCTATTCCCACCACAAGACTGATATCAAAAAGCTGATAAGACTATTCTTAAAGCACTATTTGTGAGTATTATGAGGCATCAGATTCAATTGTGTCAGATCAATTCAAGTTGAAAAAAGCACTGAAAAATAATAACATTTGTAAAAAATAATATCAATATGAATTTAAACATATTTATCAGCTCTATAGTCATGTTAATCTTTATGATCTCAAATCTGATGATATTTTCAGTCCTTAATGACTTAGTAAATGTTATACAAAGACTTTAGTGGTCTGTGATAGTGACTATTTTGAACTCAAAGTCATAAAAATTTCATCATTCTCTTCAAGACAGTTGAATTTATAATACTGATGATGAAGTGTCATTGAAGTGATCATGCATGCTTCATTGATCTAAAAGAATGTAATGATCAATTCTAAAGATGTAGGTGATAGGTATTATATATATAAATAGAAATCCTACAGCTTAAAGCTGGTAAGTCAGCAACTTTAGCTGGACAGTTAAAAAGTGAAGAGAGAGATAATAATCAAACAGGAAACTATTGCCTTCTTAGAACCATCTAGCAAAGAGGACTCTATGCAATGCACTCAGACATGACTTGATCAGCACATAATGCAAACTTCCTCTCCTCTTCATCCTACTCATCTCCCACCTCATCACTTTTCATCATAATTTTATTGCCTTCTAGCAAAAGCCAATTATCAATATTTTATCCTTTTTGCAAGTGTTTTCTGATATGATCAAAATGTTTAGTTCAGGCATTCTGATCTTCTTGCTACAGTGGGAAAAGTTTGCAGCAAAACCCACTCCAACATCTGACTCATATCATTTCTCCCAATTCTTGCCAGCACGCAATTTTGACATCAGTTTCTCTGCAACCGTGTTCATTACGGATATGCTTTTCAAACTTGTCTCGACTGAGGAAGAGCCGGGCACATTCATTCTCACTGGAATTTGTGGCCAGAGAGCCTTCTCAAGATCATGAGGATGAGAGTTCAAGGTCAGTCCCTGTACTTGTCTGTGCATGATTTTCCGCCACCCAATAATTAATAACTAGTTAACTTATCAGAGGAGAAGGGGGCAGTGCCAACGGCCCCCGCCATTTACCCTTGGCCACGGGATGTCATCATCTGCCAAAGTACCGCGGAACCGCTGTCCCGATCCAGAGAAGCCAACAGGTCCTAGTCACATGGCCCCGGCAACGAGATCAAGCAAAAAGACCAGTAACTAATCGTGCCGCTGCGCAACCCACACCTAATGTGGGTGCAACCACACAAAAATAATAAAAACACCAAAATGATAAAAATCTTGAATCACATCCTCATTATTGCACTCTATATCAACAATCAGTAGCTAATCTATAATAAAAAGATTATCTACATCATTCTCAGTATGTGTGTCATCTTTAAACTAATTTAATTTCTCTTCTGTCAATGATGTGAGTGAGTTATTGTCAATTTTTATGAGATTAACTTCAAGTCTCTATCACTTCTTATTCTGCTCTTTTTCAGCTTCATTATTCTTACACTGCTTGATTTTTCTATTGACATCTCTAATAGTGAGAATTTTCTTTACTTGAATCTGATAATGAGTTGTTTTAGCTCTGTAATATTTACTAATGTTGAGAAAGTTCTATAATTCAATAATCTATTACTTATTAAATTTCATGTGAATTAAACTTGCTTTGAATATCTTCTTCAAATGACATGTCAAGATGAGTGATTTCAAATCCAGAGTATTTTTAATACCTTATATGATGTTTTCTGCAATATTAATATGGTATTCTAGCTTTTGAATTATCTTTGATGAGAATAGCTGAGAAGAAGAGATAGATATGTAATATAAATCATTCTCATCTTCATAAATCTGCAGTGAAGAAGATGATGAGATTTGCTGCTTAAGAGTATCAAGAACTCAGTCAGAATTTCATGAATATATGCCATATTAAGCTCATTCTGCAGCTATTATATTAGATTTAAAGATCTGCTTTTGCATAGCTGAGAAATCTTGTAAAAACTTCTGTTTTTCATACTTAATAAAATCAGAACATGCAGCATAGTTAACTGCTTTTAAATAATAATACTTATATTGCTGAAATAATAGACTATTCAGAGATTGTAGCAAATAAGTAACATGCAATGAAAATTCATATAGAATTATTTTATAATAATCTGTATATTTTATGAACTTCTCAGTGATATGAGATTTATGATTATTTATTAAAAGTAATTAATGACTTCTCTTCTGTCTCTTTTCTGTAGCAGTATTGAAATGTTTGAGTTATTCAAATCTAATCTCATCATTTATAATTTCAGTATTTGATATAGCAATTCTATAATTGCTAAGTAAATCTGTATGCATATATCAATTCTTCAAGAGTGTTTTGAAGACTAAGATTATCAATGATGAAATGATATGATTATTTATAAATACACATTAAATGACTGTAATCAAATCTCTTAAAAAGAATGAAGAAATGATGAAATTAACTTCTTTAAAAATAATTAAAACTTATTTTTCATGTCCTTGTCCTTCTTGAAATTCAATCTCATTAAAGTTGTATGTATCACATACATGAAATTGATACTGCTCAAATAGAATCTGAAGACATTCAAATCATGTATTGATATATTCAATATCTTCAACTGTCACTCTTTTTGAATTCATTGACTTTTATTTCACTTTCTTATACTCAGATAGATGTTCAATGAATCTATAAGTTCACATCTTACTGACTTTTGAAGAAGATGTAGTAGAATCTATATGCTGACATCTGAGTATTAAATTTATGAAATCTTCAATATATTTGACTATAAGAGGATAATTCTTTTCATCAAGCAACTTAATTCATCATTTAATCATATCCTTCTGACTCTCATTTAATCTTTTGTTAACTGGAATCTTTGCAGTATTCAGATTTCTTTCATTGATATATGCTCAGAGGTGTTGATAAGAAATCTCAAATTCTCATGACAGAGACAGTATTTTGAAATTTGAGTTTTTTGATGATAAGTGACAGCTTTTTGAATACAGTCTTCAATATTTTTATTCTTATTTGACATTGTGGTGAGTTATTAATTGATGAAGATGATGAAGATTATGAAATTGCAAGATTTTTATTGTTTTGGTGTTTTTATCATTTTGGTGTGGTGCACCCACACGAGGTGTGGTTTGCGCAGCGGCACGATTACTCTGTAGTCACCCTGCATTCGTTATCGTATTGGTGGGGATGAAACTACTGAACCAGCTCCATTCCATCCCCAATTATGTTGAATTATTGAAGCCATAACTTTTCGTCGTCCTTTTCTTTAAAAAAAGCAGCATGATGGAAATACCCGCCCCACATGATATCAAATGCAGCAAATCAGCGATTTAACAAGAGCAAAATTATATGTCATGTTAGTCATATTTTGATCTTTTAGATTGAGTTTTCCCGCCCTGACTCATCAAGTGGCGGAGCCTAGCCTTGCCGGCTTTTCCTTTTTCCGATAACGGGTGGCTTTTACTTGGTAACTACATGAACATCTTTTCTCCAGCTGTGAGTAGTCAGCAAGCTACCTGATTTGCCTCACGCCCTGCATTGCGTCGCCAAGAAGCCGATTGGATAGGCTTGACTAGATAAGAAAGCAAAGGAACTTAAGTCTATGAACAGAAGATGTATCTAGAAATCAAGGATGCAAGTGGTTATATAGAAAATTGTATGCGTTTTCCAGTAACTCTGATAATCGCTGACTGTGGGTCAGATAACTCCCTACATATGATTTCTACCAGCCTCCTGAGGACTTCTTCATGAATTCGCTTAAGATGCCGCTCTATTCAATTAAAGGGGGTGGATACCTTTCAGTGGCGTAGTTCCCATATCCTTCCGCAGGGATGATTCTCATCTCGTATATAGGCGGGGTAATTCGAATATAGTTTCTATGACGTGGGAGGCATTTCTTTGGCGAGATCTGATAAGCAGTTAAACATTTTTATAAAAACCATTTTTTTACTAAGATCAAATGCACTAAGTTAACTATTCAGTTAAATATTATTATTTACTTAGAGTAGTTGAAGTATTCTTTAATATTAAAATTATACTTATAATATATATTCTTATGTATGTCATAACTTCATTAAAAAACTAAATTTTATCTTTTTTCCCTTAATTTTTAAAATGTAAAAATTATTATTTTATAAGTGTAGATATTAATAAACTACTTTTAGCTTTATAATCTTATCTTATAAGCTTAAAGTAAAAGTTATCATGATACTTAAGACTGTTTATATCAGAAATATAATATAATATAGTTAACTACATTTATTTATCAAGTAGTAACTATTTATATATTATCAATAAAAGATTTTTTTCTTATAGTACTATACTTTCTTGCTAAACTATTTAATAGTTATAATAGTTATCTTATTTAATACTTTAAGTACAAAGTCTAAATAAGATCTGCTTTTTTTTATTTAAATTATTTTTTTTTAAATATAATCTTATATATGATTAAAGTGTCACTTTAACTATATTTATTAAATTTATAATTGCATTAAAATAAACTTATAAAAGTATATATATCTAAACTATATATATATATATATATATATTATAAGTTTTCAATTTTCTTATAAAATTTGTTCTTCATGGAAAAACTTTTATTATATCATATTTAAATAATTTATCTGATAATGATTTACATAATAGAGTTTTATTTTTTACTTTTATCTTTTGAGAAGCAGTTTACTTGTTAGTTACTATGTTATAACTAATAAATATTAATAACTAATATTAAGTTTAAGCTTATATATATCTCTCTATCATTAGTACTAATAGAGAATAATTTATTAAAGTTAATATACCAATTATGATTTTTTAAAATACTTTTAAAATCAATAGTAAGAGCTATATAAAAAACTTTATTAATTATATTTTATCTGTTCTGAATTCTAGCTTTATATTTATATTTATTAAGAATAATATAAAAGTATTAAAGTCAATAATTAATTCTTATATAAATAGTTGATTTTGTAATTTAATAAAAATAATATAATTTAATTATTATTTTAAATATCAATTTTTTAATTTATTTTCATAGCTGATAATTATTTCTCCATTTATTTATAAATTATAAATAATATATTAATATAAATAAAAAATTCTACAAGTTTTAAGTATTTATAATAAGAGTAATTTTTTTAATATTATATAATTTTTTAAATTTTAAATAATATAATTATTTTTTTAAATCTAATATTTTAGAATAATTATCTAAAATTAAGTTAAAGATTTACAATATATACTAGTTTTTCATAGTGAAAATATATTTTTCTTATATTCTTTTTATAAATAAAATTATTCAAATAAAATTTATTCAAAATATAGAAATTCAACAAACAGTACTGAATAATATAGATATATTTATCACTATTATAATTTTTTGAAAAGATTTTAACATAGAGGTAAAAAAAAGCATGATGCTTTCTATATGATATTAAAAACAAGTAGCTCAATGTAAATAGCATAAAGCGATTATTTAATGAGCAGCTAGGCTTAATTGAGGTGTTAAACACATGGAAAGAAATGATTTATTTGATCAACTTGAAAAAGTTTAATCTTGTTCACAGGCTTAATGTGATTTAGTGATTTTCACCACACAACAATTTCACTATTTAACTGCTTTACAGCTTTGCTGAATTGTGAATTGAAAACAATAATGAATTGAATTACTTCTAGCTATTAAATATTAAATAAGTGTATTATAGATTACATATAAATTAGCATGATTAAGAAAATAAAAAAAATTTTTTGACTTAATAGCATAGTGAGAACAGCTGACTTTGCTTTTCATAAGAAAGAAAGATAAAGAAGTGCTGAATAGTGATTCTGATACTGAATTTGATAAATTTTCTAATGAAATGGTCTGTATAGATCTTGCAAATTTGAATTTGACTGTATTTGCTTTGTACTGATATTTGAGTGATTGCTTCAATATCTTTTCAGCAGTCTTCTGCTTTCTAGATTTAGCAGCTTCATACTTTTTATTCTCTGCAATTTTCTGAGTGATCTTTCAGACTACTTTGCAGGCTGCTTTGTGTTCAGCATTCTCAATAGTCTCTTAATCTCACTGAATAGCTTGTTATAGCTGAAGTTCTTTTTTCTAAGTAGTTTCTATAGTTTTTTTCACTCTTTAACTCAATCTCATACTCATGAGATGCTGCAATCTTACTAGATGAAAAGAATAGAGTCTGTTCAGATTTATCTTTGTCAAATAGCTTAAGAGACTTGCCTCACTTCTGCTGCTATAGCTCTATTTGAAATGATTAAGTTATGCTGATAAGTTTGATTTACAAGAGCTCATTCTCAAAAACAAACTTCTCATCAACATGAATGATCTGTTCAACATCAGCATTTAATAATGATTGCTATGCATGAACTAATTTAATAACTTTATAAAATTCATAAATAGTAGTAAATGTAGCTGATTAAATAGTATCAGAAAAAATAAATAACTGTTTAATAAATATCTTAAATACTCACTCAGAGTTGAGTAAATGAATCTTATAACTTTAAATTTTACTTGTATATATGCACATATAAGTGCTGTATTTCAAGCTGCATAAAAAAGTCTTCAAAAATCATATTTAGTAATGTATAAATAGTCAAATTCTTGATATAATAGTGAATTTAATTCTTTCACATAAATCTTTGTCAGTGATGCAAATACTCTAACTTCTAATAATTGCAAAAGATAAGTTGAATGTGATAAAAATGCTGCAAGTAATATTCAATTCTTATCTGCATAATTTATAAATTTTATATTAATATAAGAAAAATAATTATTTAATATAAGTAAGCAACAGCTGTAGCTACTCTTCTTCATATATGAATTAAATATCTTTTTCAACTTCTCTAAATCACAGCCATCACTGCTTCTATTATTTAATAATATCTTAAAATATATTTAATGATTTTCAAATTAAAATTTATCACGTCAAATATTCTAAATGTTATTTTTCTTATATATTAATACTTAAGAAACTTTTAAATTATCTGCATAAATAACTGTAATTAAGATAATAAGTTCTTGATTTTCATTTTCAATTGCTGTAATATGCTTATTTTTCAAAGATTCAACTGAAATAATATGCTTAGTAGTATGTTCATGTTCAATTAGAAATTCTTTCTCATCATAATTGTAAATATGTAAGAGTTCAAAATTATATTTTATGATAAAATGAATTAACTAGAAATAAAGTCATTTCATTAGTAGTCTGCAAATCTAACAGAAAAGATAGTAAATATGGCGTTCTGCCTCTATTATTATCTGTTGTGTTCCGCCTCTATTCTTCTGCCCCTCCCTATATTAGTATCCGCTCTCTATTCGCCCCTCTCTAATCCACTAAGGGGCCCCAATTTTTTCTATATTTCCTATTCTATGCGATCGCTCCTACCATATAGAGTGATTATTATAGTGTGTATATATAGCAGGGCATCTGCCCATCTTATTAGAAGAGAATTAGACATGATTTATCCTACCTATTCAATTGCTTATACGCATCAGTAAATACTTAATTACTCTGTTTGAAGTAGTCTTCAAAGTAGTTAAAATTGTCTACAATGTTTTATTTTTAATTAATTGCATACAAATAGATATTTTTCAACTTGTTTTTTTGATGCTGATAAAATTAATTCACTTAGTGCTTTTCAACAGATTTTTTAATGAATTTAGTCATCAAATTTCACATTATTTGAGATGTAAAAGCAAGATCATGATCTGCTAGATAATTTATATACTGAATAAATGTTTTTTCTTAAGAGTTGATTAATTTTATATCATATTTTAATGTTGCTTCAGATCTGCAGATCTACTCATTTTTATACTGTCATGTCAATGTAATTGAACTGATTTTATATTTCAAAGCAGTTCACTTATAATTTGAAAATTCTTGCAAATTTAAATCTTCAATTGTAAGCTGAATTACTGCTTTATTAATCATGATGTTGAGATTTAAACTTGAAGCATTAAGATGAAATTTACAAAATCATTGAGTGGCAGAAATTGTTAAGTGGTCAATCACATTAACACTTGCTGGGATGTAAGCGCAACCTGTGAACAGAAAGAAGTGATCAAGTTATAGAAATGAGTTTGAAAATACCAGAGTGTAAAATTTTTATAAAACAATATGTGACAATAATTATTTTATAACTAGTTATATTATAGCTAAACATTAACAGATTATTTATAAACTGCATATTCTATAACTGCCCAATGAATTCATTAGAATTTAAAAAAAATAAATTATTTCTCATTCTCAGCCATTTGCTTGATCTCTTTCTCCCTCATTCTGGAGACTTGGGATTTCAGTCCTCTGAGCCAAAGCCAAGCTAGTTAGAGTTCGAGGCGGTTTATCACCCTCCTTTTGCACCTATTAGTCTCTTATTCACCTCACTTCCTCATTCCATGCTTCAGAATATTTGAGATTAATGGACTTACTCTCCAAACCCAGCATTGGCCCAAGTTCATCCATCTTCCACAGAAAATCCAGTCTATGCGATGCTCCTATTGATACATAGCGACGAACGGAAATTTTTAAATTAGCCTTTCTATTTTATTTCTTGATTAAGGAAAGGGGAAGGGTTAAGTTGGTGAACGTACATATACCTTATCCAAACAATCCTTTTGACTGCGGCAATCTCTGTTATCATCACACTATATATCTCTTGTTAGTTTCACTGACTTGATGACTGCTTTGAAACAGAGTGAGCCAAGTCCGTTTGTTACTACGTACATAGTGGTTGAACGCACAGTCTCTCCATGCTCTTGGCCAGTTCGCAGCTACAGGAGTCGAATCCTGTATAGCGGCAGAATGGCAAAGGGGTAGGAGAATGAATAGAAGTGCAAGGAAGCTCTTCATGCTGATATTTTCTGCTACGTAAGTGCAGAGTATTGTGAGTAGTTATATGTTCTCAATAGGTATAATATGTAGCAACGTCCTTTTGCAACCACGGCTGCAGCACAAGTTCTGAAGTTCTGAGCGTCGTCTGAAGAAGAGAGGGTGGGGGAAAAAAAAGAAAAGGAAAAGAATTCATCCCTTTTATCTTTTATCCATAAACGAGGCGAGGCAAATAGCAGCATCCTCACACCTCATTCATTGGTATTAACAACCATAGTGGCAAGTAGGAGGGCGCTATATCTCTTGGAAGGAAAAGTCAATCTTTATTTCCTTTCAGATTAGCAAACACTATAGGCATTCCATATTTTCCTTCAGACGAACTGTATTTCTGACGTTGGCAACCACAGAAATGGGGAGGATACGCTTCCATGTATTGGAGAGAGCGAGTACGAGATCATCATTGGTTGAAGGCATATCAAACAGCCAAATTGACGAAGGCGAAAAGGAGAATTTGAAGACAAGTGATGGTGTTTTAACTTCTGCGGAGAAGGGGAAACAGGAGCCTAACTCTGAAGTCTGCATGCATATCTTAAGTTCACCATGGATTTGTAGTGTGGGGTCAAAACTTTAAAAGGTTAATCCAGGGGGGGATGGGTGCCACAATCGTTGACATCTCGATTTGACTCTCGAACGACCCATGGAACGTTGAGATCCACAACAACTTAATGATCTAGTTTAACTCTAAAGAAGCTGAACTACAAATAACTGGTGGTTGATTATGAAATCAACCACGCCACCTCAATGTGAATTTTTTTTTTTTAGATAACGTGACTTACCACTAAATGAGCCATATGACTAAATGAGCCGCTCTCAGCAAAACTGCCTCAACTTGCTAGAATCTAATTAATTCCACAACAATGAAATAAACATTAATTAGATTATTAAATAGTAATGAGGGTATTCACTAGTTTCATACAAAATAGATGGTTTAATAAAATAGATGTGTGCTTGGCTGAAGAACATAGCTATGACAGAAGATCCAGCATGGAGTAAGAAGATTAATCAAAGAAGTGTCAATTTCTGAATTAGTAGTAGAAGCAGCAGTAAGCTGCTTCAGGAAATTGTGGTTGACCTCATTTCCTAGACTGGAAGGTTGAATAGAGTTTAAAGAATTAGATTCTGCTGTAGATGCCTGCTTCTGCTGTCACTTTGAAGCAGCTATAGTTGAACTGACTGATTTTCACTTTGCAGCATGAGTATGAGTCTGTTCTTGCTTCTCAGCTTCAAGCTAAGTCTTTTTAGCCTCTCTAGCAAGCTGCTGAGCTTTGTGCTGCTCTGTCTTTCTAGCCTTCTCTTTCTCAGAAGCTTTGTGAGCTGCTGTTTGAGCTGCTTATTGTTCAATTCATTTTTACTAAGTCTCTTTAGTTTCATATGCTTTTCAGAGATTATGTTGAAGTCACTCTTGAGCTTGTTGAGCAGCTTTCTTCTCTTTTTTATAATATGCTTTCTGAATCCTCTTATGAGCTTGTTGAATCTTGAATGATAAAAAGAATTAAATCTGACTAAACTGCTGCTCTGAATTCAATAGATCTAAGATATTTTCACATTGTCATCACTTCTTTTCATTACATAAAGCTTTAATTAGAGTCTTATTCTCATGTGCAAGCACCTTCCTTTCCAAAGACAAGCTTTTCACTAGCATATATGATTTTTTTATATCTTTAGAGAGCAGGTTCGGCTGAATTCAAATTCTCTTAATATCACATTGAAGAGCATAGATAGTTGTAGATGTAGCAATCTCAATTGAAGCTGAATTGACTGAAGATATAGACCATTGTGTAAATCAGTGAAGAACACACTCAGAAATAAAAGAATGAATATCAGTGACAGCAAATGCAGATAAAATATTCTTAGTCATTAAAGACTGATCTCACACAGAATTGAAAACTGATAAAAAGCTTCTTTTTGTCATTCAAATGAATTCAAATCCACTGCAAAGAAGGTTATTGACATCATGAGAGTATGCTTCTGCTAGAGGACTAAAGATATCAACATTCAAAAATTACATTCAGTGAGTTGAATGTGTTAGGCTCAGCGTCCGACCGAGCCCGACCGAAGGCCGGTGCCCGGTTAGACTCGACGTCGGATTAAGCTCGGCGCCCGATTAGGCCTAATCCACATCACGTGATCAAACGACCATGCGCGTGGTTATAATCCAGGCAGGCCCCAGCACCCCCCTTTCATCCCATCAAGCTTAGTATTTCGTTATATAGCAGTTAGCAACGCAGAGAGTTTTTCTTCTTATGCAGCTCGCATTCGCTCCCTAACAGAATGTGAAGACAGTACTGCAAGAAGATTTCAATTTTGATCTGCAAAATCAATAAATCTCATATTAACATAATAAGAGTGCTTATCTAGAATAAGAAGATGTCTTCTGCAGTCTGCTTTAGTCTTGATATGCTCATCAAAGATTCATTTCAGTTAGTTAAGTTCATAGTCATCATTACTTCAATCTTTCTCAGAAATTACAAAAAGCTACATTATTTTCATTCAGATCCTCTAGTTATGTATTCAACATATTATGAGACTCTTCTTATGTTACAAATCTAAGAGAACACCCCGCATAAACAATCAAGAAATCATTGGGTAGGAATAAACCTAATGAGAGGGCTGACAGAGACTAAGTGACAGAACAGCAAGACGTGTTTCCGAAGAGGATACAGATCACATGACTGATAGATTAATATGATTAATAGATTCATCTATCAAATCTATTAGTAAATTAATATGATCAGTATATCAGATCTACCAGATCTATCAGAGGATTTCATTATGTATATAAAGACACTCATTACCCTTAGAATCAAGGAAGCTTATCTTCTTGATCATAATCAATTTTATTATACTTTGAGAACACTCTACCTTTCCACTATTCTATTCAGTTATAATCATAGTTTTGATTCTTTTGAAATACCCTTCTACCATATCTACATCTCTTATAGATTATTAAAGTTTTAGACATCTGTCTTAGCTATTATTGATAATAGAGATCAATATTTCTATTGTTCAATTCTAGTGGCAGCTGACCTTTCTACAATGATCAAGCATGATAAGGCAATTAGTCAATCTGATCTTAATCAACTTAGATGAATGCTTGCTGTAACAGAGTCAAGTCTGGTTAATATTGATCATCTCTACATCCAAGATCACAGAGAACCCTCTACTTGAAGGAAATATTTATTGAGAAGTCTGTATGTGAACATATCTTTATCACAATAAATGAACTAAAGTAAGATATCTCTGAACCTCTAATGGAAATCTAACAATGGCATCATGAGCTGGATCAGTGGTGGATAGACCAAAGGGAGACATGCAAGAATTAGTGAAGGTGAATGAAACCTTAACTGAGAAAATCAAGATGTTGGAATTTGCTATAGTCATCAGAGGAATAAAGGTGAACCCATCAGTATCATTCTTGGAAGAATGAGGAAAACTATAAGTCTTTTTGACACAAATAGATGTCTACCTCACTGCCAATGCATCTAAAGTCATGAGTGAAGTGGACAAAGTCTTGATGGCTTCAACCTACCTATTTGGAGCAATCTTTGACTGGTTTAAACTAAGAGTCAGGGAATGATTCTATGAAAAGAAAGGAGATTGAGATGAAAATACTGAATGAGTCTTCAAGAGATATGATAACTTTATTAAGCTACTCAAAATGACATTTGAAGCAATAGATAAGAAAGATATAGCAATTCAAAGAATCTATCAGACAAGACAAACAGGATCAGCAGCATATTACACATCAGAATTTCAACAAATAAGCTTTCATTTGAACTGAGATACTGAAGCATTAGCTTCCCAATTCTATTGAGAACTGAAGAAGAAAGTAAAAGATGAAATTGCAAGAGAGAAGAACAGACTGAACACTCTACAAGACATGATAGAACTCACAGTACAGATTGACAACTGCATGTATGAGTGATGCTGGGAAAGAAAAGAGCAATACTTCTACAATATCAGAACCCAGAAGAAACAGAGTAACTCTTACAGACTATGATCTATAGAGCTTGACATAACTGTGAAGACAGGACACTTCAAAGAAGAAAAAGAACAGTGATATCAGAGAGAAAGATTATGCTCTCTATATGAGAAACTAGAGCATATGGCAAGGCAATGTCCTCAATACAACAACAACAACAGAAAGCTAAGAGTCATATGAAGAGGGCATCAAGCAATAGAATATCTGCAGGCCATTGAATAGCAGCTGAAGACTCTCAAACAGACAGAAAATTCAATAAAGAATAATGAAGAAATCTAGATGATGAGAATTGTCAAGGCCAGATTTCAACATTACCAACTCAGTTCTGAAGTGAGGCAGTATTATCAGAGGGAGGCAGAAAGAAGAACACTTCAGTTCTGAGAAAATCATGAATGATTCATATGAGAATTTTATGAGAAATGAGTTCAAGAATTATGATTCTTCTGAGATGTAATCTGAGAAGTCTATTTTCAATATAGTTTCACAGTAAGAGTTAAATTAAAGCAGGATTGAAGCAGAGATAAACATTGATTTTAGACACTTAAAAACTTTCTCAGCCTTGCTCATCCACAAAAAAGAAACATTCTTGCATGTAAGAATCATCAGTAGGGTCATAATCTTTAAGAAATCTCTGATAAATCATCTATAGAAATTGACAAAGTCTAAAAATCCTCATACATCTTTAAGAGTAGTAGGTGTTGCTCATTTCAAAACAGCTTTAACCTTCTTCAGATTCATTCATACACTCTTGTCTGCATCAATGATAAATTTAAGATATTTTGTGCTGTTCAACTTGAACTCACTCTTTCTGATGTCTGCCTGCAGGCCTGCTTCCCATAGACACATAAGCATCTTTTGTACATGCTCATAATGCTCCCATAAGCTTCTTGAGAAAAATATCAAGATGTCATCTAAATAAACTGAGCAGAAGTTGTTCAGATATCCACATAATACCCAGTTGATATATTTTTAAAATGTGCTCAGAGCATTGACCAAATCAAAGAGTGTAACCAGCCACTCAAATAGTTTGTATCTGGTTCTAAAGACTGTCATCCACTAATCATCTTCTGTGATTTGAATCTTGTGAAAAGCTGCAATAATGTCCAGCTTAATGAATCATTTAATCTGTTCAATTCACTGTAGAATCTTATTAATTAATGATAGAGAATATCAATTCTTTCAGATGATTTTATTAAGAGCTTGATAGTCTACACAGAATCTTAGTCCACTCTTAGACTTCTTTGTGAATAGTACAGAGGCAGCTGCAAAGAAGTTGCTCACTTTAATTAAACTCTTATCTAGATAATCTGTAAGAGTCCTTCACAAAGTCAGTAGTTTCTCTTGAGACATATTATATAGTGAGTCTCAAGAGGGTTGTTCCATGCTACCATCAGTCTTTTTAATCAGTTCAATCCCATGATCTCTACCTGAG